ACTTACTTCAGTCTTTCAAAGCCACAGGTTGTAATAACACCCCGGTCTGTGTTGTTTGTCACCAGGACAAATTCTTTGCTTCTTTTTCTTCTGCCTGTCGTGTCATGGTATTTAACAACGCAGGGGAGTATCTATATGACATTGGCAGCAAAGGATCTTTTGACGGGCAGTTCTTGAAACCCACTGGTCTCGTTATTGACAAGTTTAACCGTTTGATCGTTTGCGATGCTGGAAACAGTAGACTGCAACTTTTCACTCTTGTTGGAAAGTATATCGCTAAGATAGCTGGAAGTTTTTTTGAGGGTGGCTACCCTCGTTATGCTGTCATCTCCAATACTGGATATTTGTTTGTTACTGATACTGATCTAGACTGTGTTCATGTTTTTCATTAGCTCTGCGAGCCACTGTGTTCTGTGAACTAATATGGTGTATTTTACTGCCATAAACCATTTAAGATAATTAAACGGTACCATTTGATATTTTACCAAATGATACTGACTACGACACATTGTCTCGGTTTTGTTATTTGAAAGACACGCTTCTTATTTAGAGACCTTAAACACGAAAAATGTCTGTCTGTTGAAAGAAAGGCCATTACCCTGCGAGAAGAGGTTTCTCTCTTGTATTGCTTTTAGCGCTTTACGTTCCCATCGTATGTCAGTCAAGCAGTTGGTTTGTTTTAAATGGTCCAGGAGTATAAAGCAAACCAACAACACGACTGACAGCGACGCGAACGACTTCATAAACGCTAAACCCAAAGAGAAGCTTTTGCTTGGAATTTAAATAGCCATAAGTTCACGAGTACAACGTTCGGTTATCGCAAGGTAGCGATGATTTGTTTTTTTTCTGACTTTTACAAACATATAAACTATTATATTTTATTAGAGGGGAACTCATTCATTCATTATTTACAGCCGGGTTTAGCTTCTTGCTTTCTGTGTATACCTATGACTGTTTTTTTGTTTAGATATGGCACTTCGTAGTCTTGTGCTTTCACCCAACCGCAACAGAGAGAGTGAGCAATCGAACAGTTATACACTCAACTCCATCGGAGGTGGACACGAAAGTTGTCTGCCCAATAGAAAATCAAAGGAAAATGACTGAAAAACGGCCAAGGTCAACTCTTAAGTTTTTAATTTAGCGAGATGTCCGTCTATTTTAAATGCAGGTTAAGAGAGAGATTGTACATCGCCTATTATACATCCGGCAATAGCTTGCTTCTAGCAATCATTTATATCAGTTTGGTGTATCATAATTCTAGAATGAGTGATTTTTTTTCATGTAGTTGGATGCATGTTTTGGTTAAAATGCAGTTGAACATCTGGGGGGTAAGAACTTGCCTACTTCCCCAGGGTCCGGTTGCATAAAACCTGCACTTAAGTGTTCACCTAAGTCGGGTCACCTACGAATCCGCTTTTACTTACGGGTGTTGCATGGAATGCACTTAGCACTCTCCTAATTTTCTTTTCTACGTGGTAACTTAGGGGCTCACTTAAGGGCACATTGTAATTTTGTTATAGTACTTTATTAATTTGACTCACTCAATTTTTTTTTTAAGTTAACCATTGGTGAGTATAAAGAAAATGCCAAGCAAGAAAAACTTTTTTCACTCCTCAGTAAAAGTTCTCGTTCACTTTGGTAAAATTTATTTTATTTTACTTTAAACAAGATACTGTTTACCTGTTATTGTTACGGGCGTTTTATGCAACCGTACTCAGGTTCCCTCGCCACAATTTCCATCTCCTTGGAGTGCAGGAGAGAGCCTGGTATTACCTTACCTCGTTTGGCATATTTTAAGAACAAGATGCAAATAAATTAACTATTGACTGCCACTGCTATGCAACTTTTAGATAAGCGCTTCAGAAGAACAAATATATTTTGTTAAATGTTTGACAGACTTAAGCGTTCTTACCTAGGATAAAGATATACTATATTTTAGAAGGTTATGCAGTTTAAATAATTACAGGATTAGCATTAAAAAGAGGTTACGATTGCCTTTTGACGAATAATTTAAAGCAAATTAACCGTCCTTGCGTTGCACTGCTTGTTGCCAATCACTTTAGGTAAAGACTGGCATGTTGGCTAGGAGAGGGGTGGGGGTGTAAATGGTTTGGAGAGAGGGTTAGTGTTTGATTTACACCTAATGGAAGCGATCGGTGACTTAAGCGTTATTGGCGGGAGATACTGGTTTTCTCTTTGAGGGCGAGAGGCTGGTGGTCTTCATTTCTGATGAATCGTTTTGCTTTACGTTCATGTCGTAGGGGACACTATACATGTATACCATCTTGATGGGCTACTGATACTATGCAATCGCTACAGTCATAACGTGTAAAACTGAGCGGGGCGAAGTAACACACCACAGTACCACAGACGAACGTCTATAATTTTAAGTAAAACATGAAGCTTGAAAAGCGTTCATTTGGGGTAGTGCACATCAAAGACTGTGGAGTATCTCTATTAAGGCATATTCGAAAAAGGGTGTGGTACTTTACTCCTTTGACAGATATTGGGCATAGATTTTAACCGCGTGCGAGTATGAAATAGAATAAGTTCGATGAGGTTTTTTGATTTCTGTAGTGGTAACCTCGCGAACCCGGCGAGTCGCTGAGGACTCTTGGATTAGTTTCTAATTTTTTTTGTTGCATTCTAAATATAGCTGTTAAATATTTTCTTCCGGCCGCTTCCTGATCGTCGACCGCCATGAGAGGACATTTTTCAAGCTCCCAAAAATGACCTCAACATAAGCCGATTAGAAACGAAAACCACACAGAAACCTAGTAGAATGACTCTACATTGGTTACGAATATATAGCCGGGCAAACTGCTCAAGGATGGCTCAGATATATTAAGATGAACTTGGAATACCGAACCGCTCGACGTACTTGAAAAGGTTGGGCTAACTTTTTCAAGATGATCGTTAGAATCCGAGCATGCGCAGTACGTGAAGTAGCTCCTTTAATGCATCGTTGTCAGCTGTAAACATCTGAAGATTACTCGATGTCTTTTAGATGGAACTGTAGAACTGATCCAAGGTTTTCGGTGACAACGACCTTGTTGTGTACAGTGAAGCTGTTCTGCGCAAACTCAATAACCTGTGAGGTGAGGCGCAAAAAGCCTCGGGAGGGGAAGAGGAAGAAAAACGCGAAAGGAAAACGGGACCCTCTTCCCCAATCGCCCTCTATTTCTTCCTTCTGTCCTATTCGAATTCCCTTTTCCACTTCAACGCTCGCTACGCGGCTTAGAACCCAACAACTCCATTATAAAGCTGGACGCCTTATCTATTAGCAGGCACGGATAACATTGAGTTTCACACTGTTATTTTAAAATAAATCTGTAATAGCGGACATATCTATTACGCGGATACTAGCGATAAAATATTTTCTTTTACAGATTTAAACGCTGTTGTTAATAGTTGTGCTTCGAATCACAAATTATAACTCACCTTTATTGCAACTTATTATAACTAACCCTTATTTATTTATTATTTATTCATTCATTCATTCATTCATTCATTCATTCATTCATTCATTCATTCATTCATTCATTCATTCATTCATTCATTCATTCATTCATTCATTCATTCATTCATTCATTCATTCATTCACTCACTCCTTCATTAACTACATAAGAGAACATCAACAATTTACAAGAACTTTATAATATATTAAGCATAATGGACACTATTCTAAATTTAAATTATTTTACAAATGTTCAAAGTGGTAATGACAAGGGAGCCTTTATAGAAGCTGCCGAGGGCTTATTGTACACTATAGGGTACACCATGTGACTTAAAGGTACTGATTGAAAAATGGATTATTTTGAAAGTTAAAGAAAAGAAAAGTAAAGAAAAAAATAGCATTTTTTCATAAGGCTGCATTGTGCTGTGAGGATAAACTGTAGAGTATTTCTACAACTTATAAAATTGATTTCAACCCTTCAAGTCAATAAAATATTTCTGGTATTTTGTATAATTGATCAGAACCTTCTATAATAATAGAGGCAGCTAAAAAGGCAAGAACAATGATGACATATTTTTCTTAAGTCAATGTCATGTTTTTTAAAATTTTCCATGGTTGTCTAACCTAGGCTCGATTTCGGCCGTCTCCTGGGTCCAGTCTTTGATCCTCGGGGGATGAGTGGGGGCTCATTTTCCCAAACAGCGGCTGGTAATCGAGCCTATGTCTAACCCAGCTGTAACAAATCATGTGGACATGAATCTGCTGTTGGTTTTACTTTCTGCTACTTTTCAGGTTCTTCCAAATGGAAATATACTTGACTGTCTTTCATCAATGAGAAAAGACAACACAGGTTTGTTAGGGCTTTCATTGTCTTGTAGTATTTTTTCTTCCCTTGTCCCTGGTCTCTTTATTGCTACAAGCTAGAGGCTAGTAACTGTATGCCTTAAATACTTTAGTGCCTGCTTTAAAATAGTTGAACCTAATCTTTTGACCCTGAGTTGGCTGTGCCTATTTGTAGTTATTACCATCACTTTTCCCTGTTGTCATGTTCTCTTTTTAGGCTATGATTTAAAACAGCTGTTTATTGGATCAGAAGGTTCTTTGGGTGTTATAACAGCTGCATCAATCTCAGTACCAAGGAGACCAAAGGTTGTGTGTTTTCAATAACTTTTTGATTGAGAAAAGAATAATGGTACAAGTACATTGGCTGTCTACAATTTTGCTTTGGAAAAAAAAGCATATAAGCTATTCAATTTCTATTCAGAACAAGACTTGTAAGGAATATTTTAATGTTCATTGCTTCACTCTAGTGCTTCATCTGTTTACTGCCACACATAATAAGAACATCACAATGTGGCAGAATGTTTCTTCACAGCACTGCAATGATTACTTAAGATAAATAGTTATTTCCTTGACAGTTTTCCTGTCAGCTTCTGTTCATAATCACACAGCATAAAATACATTTCCCTAGAAGTCATCCTAAAAGAAAATCTTTGGAGCTCATACTCCTCTGGTCCTATTGAGTATCCTTGCTGTTTCTACAATGATGATCATGGTGATGGTGATGGTGATGGTGATGGTGGTGGTGGTGGTGGTGGTGGCGGTGGTGGCGGCGGCGGCGGCGGCGATGGCGATGGCGATGGCGATGGCGATGGCGATGGCGATGGCGATGATGATGATGATGATGATTTTGATGATGATGATGATGATGATGATGATGATAAAATTACTTAATGATAATGATAGTAGAATAATTTCCATCTGTTTGCAGTCCATCAATGTTGCTTTCCTTGGTTGTGAGAGGTTCACAGACGTTCTTAGCTCCTTTAAACTGGCAGGAACCATGTTGGGAGAAATTTTGTCAGGTATTATTTTAGTTATTGAATATATACTCTAGATTCATCTAGTAATAACTGAAAATGATGACATGTAAAAGTCATGCAACATAACATGGGCACATGGACTTCTACAATTATTAAAAAATTATGAATTTAAACTACAGAAAACAAAAATTATTTTTATGTTTCAACTACACATTTAGTTCTGGTTGCAAACAGTTAAAGGTAAATAATTGTCATTATCCATAAGCAGAAGACAACCAAACAAAAGTTGAACATTGGATTAAACTGATGACGGCATGAATCATGCCAAAATATTTCTTTAATTTGATTCTTACCTTTATTCTAATAAATAATAGTATTAATGATGAATCCCACATACTAACAAAACTTGACAAATTTCTTTTTCTTATGGCATGTTCATGAAGGACCTAATTTTTTACTTCAGCATTTGAATTCATGGATTGTTCCTCTATGCATCTTGTGGAAAGTAAACTTGGTTTACACAATCCAATCAATAAATGGCCATTTTATGTGCTCATTGAGACCTTTGGTTCTAATAGCAGCCATGATGAAGAGGTTTGTAACATGCTTACAGATCAGCTACCACCTAGAATATACTGATTATGCCATAGCCCATTTTCTTTTCAATTGTTTATAAATATTGAATTAAAATATTATCGTTCTAAAACTTTTCTTTTGTTATACGTATGTTTCTAAGATGTGCAACAGCTGTGATTCATCACATGTTTAAAAATAGTTTGCAAGCAGAAAAGAAAGTCTTGACAGGATAGTTGACAAGCATCAATAAGAGTCTTCATAGCCAATAACATCATGGCTTTACTGACAGATGACCAATAATTTTGTGACTTATGACCAATCAGGTCAATAGCACTGTTTAATACCATGCACTGATGTGATACAATGATAAAACTTACTTAACTCTAGAGATGACTACCACACTGGTTGTTTAAAATTATGTCAGTGACGGTCACTAACAGTCCTATCTGGGACTATGCTCACCTGGACAATCATATTATGACATTTTTTAATGTTTGGTCAAATTTGTGAGTTTCTTGAATTGTATAACCAGCCTGGAAGTTTTTGTAATCTTTTGTAGAAAATGAGTCTTTTCCTTGAAAAAGTGATATCTGACAACACGGCTCGAGATGGCACTTTAGCAACAGACTTAACTAAGGTGTGTTCCTCATTTAAACTTGTTGTTGTTGTTGTATCTCTTTGGCAATTATCAAATAAATTTAATAACAATAAAGGAGTTGTGACTAATAGTTTTGTTCAGAAGTATAATTTTTTTTCTTGAAGATAAAAGCAGTTTGGGCTTTACGTGAAAGAATAGCAGAGGCTTTGATGTTTTGTGGTACAGTGTATAAGGTAATTAATATGACTGGTACACACCAGTACATTTTCAAGATTATAGCTATAACTAAATACATGAGGAGATTATGGTAACTGGTGCTGACTTTAAAGAACCAGGTAGCTAACAAGACACTGACCTTTTCCACCCCCTCAAATGGTTTGTTAATCAGTGGGTGGTGTAACATATACAATCCATTAAATTCAAGTACTAAAAACAGACATTTAAGTGAAAAATATAACTCTTACTCATTCACAAGAGGTTAGTAAGCAGTCATTGGATTTAATAATAAAATATTAGATGAAAATAAATTTTGTGTTAAAAGATGTTTGTCTGTGAGATCACATAGTTAAGAATGGCTTTAAGTGAAAATATGATGCTGTTTATGACCTTTTTACACAATGTTTCAATGTTTTTTATGTTCGTAGTATGATCTGTCACTGCCTTTGCCAAAGATGTATGAGCTTGTGTTGCACATGAGAGAACGACTCGTTGATATGCAGGTCACTAATGTTGTTGGATATGGTCACCTAGGGGATGGTAAGTAGTTGAATCTCATTCCACCCACCCACCCACCCCTATTCCACCTGTATTAGGAAAAAACTCATCTGTCGTGCGCAGCTAGCTCATACTGAATCTTTGCTGGTATGAGCAGTGAACATGCCTGCTTTATATTACCAAGAAACCTAAAACTAATGAAGCTATGTTCTAGAAAATAAAAATGTTTACAGACAGGATTATTCTGTTAATTCCTACTTGTGAGAGAGAAGAACTTGTACTTAGTAGTTTATGCTAAAACACTGAATTGAAAGTTGTCACAAGGTACAGTCTAACCTCACCTTATGGACACCTCTTTAATATGGACACCTCTCTATTACGGACAGTTCGTTTGGTCCCAGAAATGCCACAAATCATACATTCCCTACCTCTATAGTACGGACACTTCTGTAAAGCGGACACTTGGTTCTGTCCCTTTGGTGTCCGTATTAAAGAGGTTTGACTGTACACAATTGGGAAACTAAGAACTGGACTTAATGTATAACCGACGGACTTGAAAACGAAAAAATGCAAAGGAGTTGGTTAGCCTTTCTAAGCTTCGACTTTGACAATTGAATAAAAACTGCTAGTGAAATAAGTGCCGGGTTTACAAGTTTGAAAAGAAAAGCACCACCTACCTGTGCCCCCCCCCCCCCCTCTTGAGTACACCACAAGAGGTTAAGTTGCTACAATTTATTTATGATATTTTCAACACTTTACACAGGTAACTTGCACCTGAACATAACGACACCAGACCACAGTGATGAAGTGCTTAATGAAATTGAGCCATATGTTTTTGAGTGGACAGGTTTGGCCATATTTTATTTACAAATTCGTTTGTTTTTTATGACATATTAATAACCCAAACTGGAAGATAAAAGTAATATGTATAAACATGAGTTACCATGATTTTTGAAAAGGAAGAGTTAATTAACTTATGTAGCTGCTATTTTCAAATTTAGTGACAAAGTTAACGCTGTTAACGGTCCAATATGTATGCTCACAGAGAATTCCCCAGACACTAAACGAGTTCCCAGATTTTAATGGTAGCTAAGGGACGCACAGATGAAACTGATTTTGATGAAGGATAATTCGAGCCGATCATTTTAAACGTCTTGGGTGGGAAAAGGACGGGTGGCGATCTTACTGTGGTATTCTCTCTCAGCAAAACACCATGGAAGTATAAGTGCCGAGCATGGTTTAGGATTCAAGAAAGCAAACTACATTCATTTCTCCAAGTCGCCTTCCTCAGTTGCACTCATGAAAGAGATAAAAGGACTTCTTGATCCCAAGGTACAAAAGCTGGAAACAATAAAATAATACCATGATAAAACTGTGAAAGATTTATGATAGTATTTTCGTGTAGTTGTGATATAAGAACCAACAAACATATATTTATCCAGTACTCTTTATTAAGAAAAAAGATTGTTTGACCTTAGTTGAGCAAATGACACAATATCTTTATTAGTTATTTTATGATCATGGTGAAACAAAGGTAGTCCTAAAAACACTCACGGTTAAACATTGTGTTTTCTGTATTTGTGGCACTTTCTCTTTTCCTTGTAGAAATATAATGTTATTGTTTTGTTTTGTCACCGCAGGGAATTATGAATCCTTACAAAGTCCTTCCACATTAGCGTGGGAAAAGAATTGAAATAACATAGTTATAGTTGATGTAGGTAGTGTTAGAGGCGTGCGATCAATCCATTGCTAAGATTAGCCTGCAAGCAAACTCTTGCTGCAGGGTGGGATGGGGGGGGGGGGGGGGGTTGGGAAGGGGGTTTCCTCAAGGGGGGGGTTTTTAAAAAGTGAAAAACCCGTTTCAATATTACAAAAAAAAAAGATAGAAAAAAAATAAAAAAAAAAAAAAAAAAAAATAAAAACCTA